ACATATATATAATATATATAACCGAATATTTATATATATAATATTATATTCCAAAATATTTTATTTTACTATTTTCTACAAATATACAAATTACTTATTATCCCATTGTTTAATCCTACTCCTTAAATTGTCCAAAGTGTGTGACCCGTATAGGCACTTATAAAACTGGTCACAGTATTGGCTCTGCACCAATACTATAAGCAATAAGCGGTATCTAGCAACACATTATTGCCCCCAGATTATAAGTTAACACGTTTGCACCGTCAAAACCTTTCCACGACTCAGACTCCGTGTAACTGTATCCCTTTGCCTCAATGTCTAAACTTAATGCAAGGGATTAATAAAATCCAGCTTGTATCCATTAAGTCATTCACTGATTTATCAAGTCTGACTGATAGGAACAGACGTCATAAAAACATCTCAGCATGGCCATGCAATTTCCTCAATCATAACTTATCAGTGGGCCCCATAAAAACATCTCACGTGGTGGTTAGAAGATAAAAAGATTTGAAGTCCGTTCGAGGGAATCTAAAGGAATGGAGAGAGCCCGATGTCCAAGTGCTTGAAAGTCAGTGGGAGCTATCGTTTTACACGTTTATTTACTGCGTATTTTGAATGCATGTGAATGTATGTTTAACGCTAGTAAATTGACACGTGCGCGGCATGTGTCGTAGGTGAGATCGTAAAACTTAAAATCCCTCGAAATATTAAGTCTGTATTGCCTTCCGGCGCCCGGCACCTTTCCGGCTAATGTACACTGTCAGGTACTCAGCCCTAGCAGAGCGTAGTACTGTGTATGTTATGCTGGTCACGGGAATCACTTAAGTGGTCATTGTCAGACGTTGGGTTAGACTTAACTGAGTCTCGGTCAAATGGATGGATGACTCAAAGGCGGGTTTTGTTGCGGTCACTATATTGACAAGTCGAATTACTTTACTCACTCATCCAGCCAGAAGTTGGGTCTCTATGACTTAATTGGGCTTAGCCCTAACTAAAGTAGTTGTGCATGTGGTACGTGCCAAAGCCAATCACATGTATAATGAAACGGTGTTCTGGCCCGTAAGTAGTATTGTCGTTCGCCCAACACAAGACCAAGAACAGTGAGCGCGGCTCGACAGTTGGAACTATGTTCCTACCTAAATAGTTAAATTCTTGGTACGAACCTCAGGTCAACTAGAATTTAATGATATATGGATCTTGGCCCATTAAGAGAATCTCTAGGAGAATCTCCGAATCAACATTGAGGGTTGTTGGTTTGTTAAAATAGTGGGAAATAATTAATTAAAAGGCCTAATTAATTATTCAACATGATAGATAACCTAGTTTGCAATTTCATTCTGTAGATGGCATCGAATAACACGTACAGTCATTCCATTAACCTGCGCTATATCCTCGAGCGCCAAAAACTCTCCGGGGAAAACTTTCTTGACTCGGAGAAGAACCTCCGAATCGTTCTTGACCGTGAGAGGAAACTTTACATCCTTGAAACGGATCCTCCCAAGACCCCTAAGGCAAATGCTCGTGCGTCCGAACTCACTTCCTTCAAGAAGTATGAGGACGACATGCGGGATGTTAAGTGTATCATTATGGCAAGTATGACCGCAGAGCTCCAAAGGATACAACGCTTGAGAGACCTTTACCAGGGTCAACCCCAAAACTCAGATATTTACGTTATCGAAGTCAATATGTCTGATTTCACCTCTTGGGTGATGGACACCGGATGTGGTTCCCGCATATGTACTTCAATGCAGAATCTGCATGAAGTTAGACATTTGACAGAGGGAGAAGTCCAACTTAAGGTCGGAAATGGAGCACTTGTCAATGCGCTGGCTGTAGGAACTTATGTTCTATCTCCCCTAATGGCTTGTTGTTGCATTTAAACAATTGCTTGTTTGTACCTGCCATTAGCAGGAATATCATTTCTGTGTCCTGTCTTGACAAAGCAGGATTTTCTATTAACGTCAAAGACAAGTGCCTTTCGGTTTTTAGAAATGATATTTACTATGCAACTGCTAAGATGACCAATGGTCTTTATATCTTAGACTTAGACGCCACTGTTTATAACGTAGATGTTAAGAGAAGAAAACCAAACAGTTTGAATCTCACATACCTTTGGCATTGTCGTTTGGGCCACATTAACGAGAAACGCATATCTAAGTTACGTCACTCTAGCGTACTTGATTCATTTGACCTCGAGTCTTATGTTGTATGCCAATCTTGTTTACTTGGTAAAATGACAAAGGCTCCATTCACCGGTCACGGTGAAAGGGCGAGTGATGTATTAGGCCTCATACACTCTGATGTGTGTGGCCCAATCAACACTGAAGCTAGAGGTGGTTTCTCATACTTCGTCACATTTACTGACGATCTCAGTCGGTATGGATATGTGTATCTCATGAAACACAAATCAGAATGCTTTGACAAATTCAAAGAATTCAGAAACGAAGTAGAGAAACAGTTAGGCAAAAGTACCAAGACCCTCTGCTCGGATAGAGGACGTGAGTACTTAAGCCTGGAGTTTGATGACTATCTAAAAGAGCACGGGATCCTATCCCAGCTGACTCCTCCCGGTACACCCCAATTAAATGGAGTGTCTAAAAGGAGAAACCGAACGCTGCTCGATATGGTTCGGAGTATGGTGAGTCTGACAACATTACCAGAGTCTTTTTGGGGAAAAGCACTATTAACAGCCGCGCACACACTCAATCGCACACCATCTAAGGCTGTTGAGAGCACACCATACGAGCTATGGCGTGGGACAAAACCAAATTTGTCGTACTTGAGGATTTGGGGTTGTGATGTTTACGTTAGACGCCTCATGATGTCTGGTAAGCTAGATTCCAAATCTGACAGGTGTAAATTTGTGGGATACCCTAAGGAAACGAAAGGGTATGAGTTCTATCATCCCACCGATAACAAAATATTTGTTGCTTGGAACGCAACCTTCCTTGAGAAGGAGTTTCTCTCTGCTATTTCTAGTGGGAGAAAGGTAGACCTCGAAGAAATTCGAGAACCACAAGAAGAGATCTCAATAGCAGTAGAACCCGAGCGCCAAGATTTAGTATCTCAACCGGCTCAAGTTTTACCACGTAGGTCAGACCGGATGCGTAATCCTCCGGTTAGATACGGCTTCCTTGTATCTGATGAAGGTGACGTCTTGCTGGTAGACCAAGGGGAACCTAAGACCTGCCTCGAGGCAATCACGTGCCCCGAATCCGAACAATGGCTTAATGCCATGAAATCCGAAATGGAGTCTATGCACACAAACCAAGTCTGGACCTTGGTTGATGCACCCGAAGGGATAAAACCCATAGGGTGCAAGTGGATTTTCAAAAAGAAAACAGACGTAGACGGGAAGGTTCATACCTTCAAAGCTAGATTGGTAGCAACAGGTTACAGACAAATCCATGGAATTGACTATGACGAAACCTTTTCTCCAGTTGTGATGCTGAAGTCCATTCGGATAATGCTTGCGATTGCAGCGTTCTATGATTACGAGATTTGGCAGATGGACGTCAAGACGGCTTTCCTTAATGGGAACCTCAAAGAGGATGTCTATATGACACAGCCTGACGGTTTTATAATTGCTGGTGAATCTGCTAAAGTCTGTAAGCTGCAACGGTCAATCTACGGATTGAAACAAGCATCTCGGAGTTGGTATATACGCTTTGATGAAACCATCACTAGTTTTGGTTTCGAGAAGAATTCTGACGAATCTTGTGTTTACAAGAAGGTCAGTGGGAGTGTGATAGTATTCCTAATCCTATATGTCGATGACTTATTGTTAATGGGTAACGATGTTCCTGCTCTCACATCTGTAAATACTTGGTTGAGCAAGAACTTTGCCATGAAGGACTTGGGGAATGCTAGTTATGCCCTTGGCATAAGAATCTACCGTGATAGGTCAATAAAGTTGATAGGTCTATGTCAAAGTACATATATAGATAAGGTCCTTGATCGATTTAGCATGTCTAACTCGAAAAAGGGATCCTTACCTATGTTACCTAGCACGGCTCTTTCCAAGAGGCAGATTCCTTCTACTCCCGAGCAGAAGGAACTCATGATGAAGGTCTCATATGCTTCTGCAATTAGTTCCATCATGTATACCATGATATGTATTAGACCTGATGTCTCATTCGCTTTAAGCGTGACCAGTAGATACCAGGGGAATCCAGGTGAAGCACACTGGACAGCGGTCAAGAAACATTCTAAAGTATCTTCGGAATACTAAGGATGCATTCCTGGTATATGGAGATGAGGAAGAGCTGAAAGTGATCGGTTACACTGATGCAAGCTTCCAAACCGATCGAGACGATTACAAGTCACAAGCAGGGTATGTGTTTTGCCTGAATGGCGGAGCTTTTAGCTGGAAGAGTTCTAAACAGGACACAACCGCCGATTCAACTACAGAGGCTGAGTACATGGCTCCTGCTGAAGCAGCAAAGGAAGGTGTTTGGATAAAGAAGTTCATTTCTGAACATGGAGTGGTTCCTAGCATTAATGACCCAATCCCGTTGTTTTGCAACAACACTGGGGCCATTGCACAGGCAAAGGAACCATGATCTCACCAAAAGACCAAGCACATTGTACGACGTTATCACATCATACGAGAAATCGTAGACAGAGGTGATGTAGAGATTTGCAAAGTAGGAACAGACGAAAACATAGCCGACCCCCTGACCAAGCCCTTGGGAAAGCTAAAGCATGAGGGTCACACTAGGTCAATGGGCATTCGACCGATGCCAGATTGGCCATAGTGCAAGTGGGAGATTGTTGGAGTTCGTGCCCTTATGGCCAACTGCTGTTGTAATATCTTAGAAATTTTCTATCATGTAAAGGCATATGCATTAAGTTTACAAACATCTCATGCTAATGTAAACTCTTAATTGCATTCCTAGAATTATATTATAAGATGTTTATCAGAATGAGTCTTCTGATGTTGAGACTGACATCTTGTCACTTAGTATAATTCTGAACGGTCTATAGTCGAAGCATTAACGAGAGTGGGATATCGTTAGTGCGCGTGAGACTAGTGAGAGTTAGATGTTTGACCTAGTCTCTTGGTCAATGACGGAGTGTTCACATCTACTCTCGGGCAGATATTATCGTTAATAATAGGATGCCAAGCCTGACCCAACTTAAGGGCATTGCCTAGAATTCTAGTCTATGCTCTAAGTGTCCTTAATGCGACTATTGGTATAACGATCCTCAGACTTGAAGTATTACGTTCTTCGAATGTGTGAACCCGCATATTTTGATTCATTGTCCTAAGTCGTATGAAATAAGGATGGTACACAGGCTTTGTATTGGGCATGCCGCTGCACATATTCGAAGACGTAGATTACGTACAAAGAATTTGTCATTGCTACTCAAGCAGAATAATATCTTGTAGGGGCCCACTGATAAGTATGACTGAAGAAATGCATGGCCATGCTGAGATGAGTTTAGACATCTGTTCTCATCAGTCAGACTTGTTAATCAGTAAATAACTTAATGGCTACAAGTTGGATATATTATATCCCTTGCACTAAGTTAAGACATTGGGACAAAAGGATCTACGTTATACAAATTCTTAGTCGTAGAAAGGTTTTGACGGAGCAAACGTCTGAACTTATAATCTGGGGTAATAATGTGTTGCTAGATACCGCTTATTACTTATAGTATTGATGTAGAGTCAATACTGTGGCCAGTTTTATAAGTGCCTATATGGGTCACACACCTTGAACAATTTAAAGAGTAAGATTATACGAATGGATAATATTTAATTTATATATTGTAAAATAGTAAAAATTAAATATTCAATATGATATATATGTATATATATATTATTGTACACGCCATATGTATGTATGTGTATGTCTATACACACACACACACACACACACACACACAGTACACACGCCACACATATGTATATATATACTTTACTTAAAGTGTACGTGTGTATATGTATAGGTTTTGTTCAAGCCGTGTACACACATGTATATATGTTACATTATATATTATATTGTGTACATTTTTTTGGAGTGTCACTTTAATTATGAAAATAATTATTTTGACAAAAATTATTTTAAAGTATATTTTATATACTTGTTTTAAAATGTTTTGGGTATTTTATTTTATATCATTAAAATTATTGATGTCAAATAAAATACACTTTAAACATTTGAGAGGAGAAGAAATTTGATTCTTCCCCCTTGATTTTCGTACCACATGCATTGGCATGGAATGGCTTTGTCATGTTGTTCTTACACTTGGAACATGTTTGGGTGGAAAGTACCTAGTACTTGTGTACTTCCCACATGTGTTTTTGAGCATGCTTCTTCCTCTTCTTTTTCTTTATTAGTGAGCTTCAGCCAAGCAAAGAAAAAAAGGGAGAGAAATATTTGAGTTCCCAAATATTAATATTTTGTGTAGAAAATTGATATAATATTTTCTTTAAAATATTAATTGATATATTTTCTACTATTTGATATACAAGATTAATATTATCCCTCTTAAATCTTTATATTTAATATACTATTATAATCTTTACTAGCATAAAGATTATAGTAGACTCCGGAGATTGTTCGTGTGTCAAAGTTGGAGGCCGGACGCTTGAACGACTACGTTTGCTCCTTCAACACCTTTTGCTCGACTTCTCGTTCATACCGCTTTACTGGAGAAGGTATAAGTTTCTATCTCTAGCTATAGTTTTAGTACGTGTTGTTGGGCTAGTAATCACTATTGGGAGATTAAATTTTTTATTTCCGCTGCCCTCCCAACCGTGGTTACCTTTCATTCTTTTCTTCTTATAATTTTCGAGAGAAAAGAATATTGAGGTAAAGAAGAGAATTACATCCAGAGTATAGAGATGAGGCACGACACGCAGGCCGTATTTAAAATTACAACAAATATAACTAAGCCACAATCATCCACCATGCAATAATACATACAAGCATCACATGCATCACATCATATATATTAAAGCATACACCGGGCGAACCGCGCTTGCCCAAACCTAGTTTATTCTATTCTACGGAATAAACTATCAACAATAAATTAATTAAACTAGCAAGTAGTTTAATTAAAAATCATAAAATACTTTAAATTTCCAGAATGTTAGAAATTTTATTTTCTAAATTCCAGAAAATAAAATATTTTATATTTACCGTATATATACATTTAAATTCGAAAAAGGGATTCTATTTCGAATTAAATATATATATGTTTTCTAAATTAGCAAATAATTATTAGAGACTCTCAGTAAACTTTATTAATCTAGAAATCCAAAAATTCCAGAATGAATAAAATTTAAAATTTTGAAAACCATTTTTCCAAAGCTAGAAAACCGAAATGATATTGTGAAAATATATTTCGAAATTCCAAAAATAACAAAATTTATTTTTCAAGTCAAAATAAGTTCCAGAACCAGAATATGATTTTTCCAGAATTTAAAATATTAATTTTTCAATTTAAAATAATTAAAAATCGGACTAGTGAATAGTACCGATCCAATTACTTCAAAAATACAAAATAAATACTTTTACGTGTTTAAAAATTATGAAAATTTTCAAGCATAAAATCTCTGGTCGCAACTTATTATGAATTAAAATTAATTTTTGATCGTCACAAATAAGTTTTCCTATTTTCTATTCAATAAACGAATTTAAAAATAGAAAAGTAGGAAATTAATTCCAAAAATTGATTTTAAAATTTCTGAGTTATATTGACATGTCAAATACATCCCAAAAAATATAAAATCTAATTTTCATAAATCTTAAGTATTTATGGCACAAATAACAAGTATTCTACACATAAACTACTTAATAAGAATAATATATAAATACCCCAAACAGTAATTCCAAAAATTACTGAACAAAATTATATTAGGTCCAGTATCTAAATATGGCCACCTAATTAAATTTTATAATGGGATAAATTTTTGTCTCCAAAATTTATTGACTAATCTAAAAAAACAATAACGGTAAAAAAGACTAAACTAGTAACTTCGTAAGCCGGCTCCGATACCACTGTTGGGAAACGAGGCTTGGATAATGCAGCGGAAAACAAAAATTTATAGTCCAAAACTCGATTCCACCCAAGAACAACTTACGTAAATTAGTAGCTATAGTAAGAAATTTACCTTAACGGTGAAAAACGAAGAACGAAGAAACGGTCGGGGATGGTTTTGAGGAGATGAACGTAGCGCCAAACGTATGAAGCCTCCAACGTATCCACATGAACGTAGCAACGACGGTGGATCCGGTAGGGGAAGGCGACGGTGGACAGCGGGTGCAATTTGGGGTGCTCCTTTCTTTCCCCCTCTTTTTTTTACTAAGATTCCAAACCCAAAGAGCGATGGGTGATGAAGATCCAGAACTGCCATGTATTGGGCGGAGATATATATTGTAACGAAAATATAGCAAGAATAAAGGGCTGTTTACACTTCAGTCTCTCTTCTTCTCTTGCCCCTTTTTTTGGGCAATTTTTTTTAGTCCATGCTAGAAGTTGGGCCGCCACCAACAGTCATCCAAGGGTGACAGTCTACAGCATCAACAGCGGTCTTGGTGGCCTAGGGATTTCAGCAGCAGCTTCGTGCATCGTCGGTGATGTCGGCAGACCCAACCTGTGGCGACGACGGATATTCCCAGCACCGTCGACGATGAAGATGACAAATCGTCTAAGCTTCCCCTTCAAATGATGTAAAATTTTGTGGTCATCCATGAGTAATATTTCGGTTTCACGGGTGGCGCCAAAATGATGGTGTAAATTATCGACCGGTATATCATTTTTAGCCCGGCTAAAACGATTAACTAGTCTAAAAAATACACCAAAATATAAACATGAGGATTTTTATGCGGGAGAAAACCACGGGCTTTTTTTGGCGATACCTTGCCAACGAGGAATTTTTATTAATATCGGGGGTGTGTACACGGTACATGATTTAGGCTAGAAGCCATTAATGAAGCATTTGAGCTCTTGAAGAAGAAAATATACACAAGCTTTCTAGAGAGAGAGAGTAAATGGGCAGGGAAGGAGTGAAGAGTGTGAATTGCCCCCCACAACAATTAGGACAACCCTCCCTTTTATAGGAGAGGGTGAGAGCATCTACGGAGAAATATTCTCTTATTCCTCTATTTTATTAAACAGACCCGGTTTAACTGTTCTTTGTAAATAATTGGGAAATGTGGGCCGAGACACGTATTATTTCCCATCAATTTTAATATATATATATATATATATATATATATATATATATATATATATATATATATATATATATATATATATATATATATTCAAACATTCATTTACCCTCCTTCTCCCTATAAATAAGGCCTCCTAGAATGAGAAAGGAGGCAAGATCATTTGAAGAGAAAAAGAAAATAAATAGCTAAGTAGGTTGAGAGGGTGTGTGAGTAAGAGTGGGTTGTGGCGTTGCCGAGGGATGGAGAGAGACGTGAGGGACGCATCACGGAATCATCCCATCAACGTTGTCAAGCTTTCATTTTGACTGAAGGTGTGCCGTTGACCCTAACCTTTAGATATATATACCATGTTCATATTTTTTTTTTTTGTTTTTGGTGCATGTTATTGTTTTTTTAGTTAATTGAATCTATTGCTATAAAATATAAGGAATGAAACATAAATTATATACATGTTTTTCAGCAATACGTAGCAAAAAAATAATAACAAGTATGTGGTAATGTTAAAGGGAATTCATACACGAGCAAATCCTTGTTCACGTACATCTGTTCGTAAAATTTATATGGAAATCATCTAACATATATATACACAAAATTTCAAATAAAAAGGGTTATTTTCATAGAGCCGAAAGGTTATAGTCAAATACAAACAAAACCCTTTTAATTACTTTGTTTTTCCTCTTATGTACAAAATAATTTATAAAGAACTACTTGTACATAATTGATATACTTTCAACTAAATTGTTTCAAGTATATTTAATTAGTATTGTTTAATATATGGTGTTGAAAACTAATAAAAAAAAGGTAAATGGGTTCGGTATGTTGTTTTCTTAGATTGATAAATGATTGGTTATGTTTTACATATAAATAAATGTGTATATAAATATACACATTTTTAATGTTTAAGTGGTGAACTATTTGCTCCCAGAGTAATAGAATGGTTTAATACAAGGGGACGAGACTGGAATTTTCTTTCTTTTTTTGAAAAAAGATCAGATTATGTTATGACATCAAAGTGTTTTATTTAAACGGTCATACTACGGTTAATCAAACATTTAGTGGACGAAGTAAAAACTTCAAGGTTATTTTAACGACGTACCCTGACCAGGTACTGTCACGTTTTACTAAGTGGGTCAAACCACTTTCAAAGCCAGACCGTGTCCATGTGGATGAGCCTATAAATAATCATACCACAACGTGCACGCGAGACCCAACGATGACCCCGTGGATCTATAAATAACAAACAAACACATGACATAACAATCACTGAATAACGAATATTAAGAAAAATGTCCAACTTATGGGGCTAAGAAGTCCATAAACCTTAAAATTTTACAAAACACACAACGAAGAATCACGTATGAATTCATAAATCATTTAACCATAATATGGAGCTAAAATAGATTCAACAAAAACCAAATTTCACATACCAACCTATTTATGAAATCAAACCCCGTGATTCAACCAATTCAACAACAATTTACACAAGAATTGAAGAAAACTAATATGAATCAATTTTCATTCATAAAGGATTTAATATAACATTAAAAAAATACATAAAAGAACACCAACCATTTTGGAATTTTTCGAAATTAACACAACAAGCAAAAAATCTAAACTTGAATTGTGAAAGAATTATTTGGGAGAAAATTTTCTGTATTTCTCTCTTGTTTTTACAATTTACAATGAGGACATATATATAGGATCTCACAAGTTGAGACTCCTAATAGGTAAAGAAAAAGGAAAAGAAAGAATCCCTATACAAGGAAAACTACCAAAACAATATATACACAAATATCTCCAAATATTCTACCAAATATTCTCTTTCCTTTAACAAATTGAAACAACGCTTTTATAAAGAAATGGAGAAAAATTGAAGAAATAACATATAGGGTTATTAATTTGAAGAATATGAAGAACTTCAAGATATTGGAGCTGGAGTAGGTCCCTACCGCTGCCGCCACCTGCCATCGTAGAACGCTGGCGATCCGTCGTTTGCCTCCGTCTACATCTCTGCCGGTGGGTCGCGTCAATAGCAGCGGCAAGAGCCGCTGCTTTGTTATTTCGGTATGATTCCCCCCTTTTTTCCTTGTGAAGCTTCAATTTATAGAATGGAGGAGCCAAATTCTTCCGTTGGAGCACTGACTTTTGGGAACGCTGGAGAAATCCGTTGAAGGAATTAGTCTTCTGCCTCTTGCGCAGTGAAGAAGAAGACTGCGTTCTGTTTCTGTTTCCGTTTCCTTGTTGCGTGAAATTGAAGAGGGAGGATGGATTGGTGGGCTCATTCTATTTTAGTAAGTGATGTATTTGGGCTCTGGCCCAAAATATATCTCTTCTTTTCAAACTTGCACTTCAATTCGTCCTTTTGCTACACTTTTCTCCATTAATAAGATATCTGATAATTTGGATTAGAAAAAATTAAATAAAAATAAAACAATGTAAAAAAATGATTCAAAACTGCTATTTTTCAAAGAAAATTAAAAGATTGTAAAAATAGAAATTAAAATAAAACTAAGCTAAAAAACAAAAAATTAAACTCTAAAAGTATTAAAAATGCCTAAAAAAGAATAAAAAGTAGTGACCCAAAATCGACTTATCAAGGATATGGGCTAGTGGGATCATCTATGGGTATCGCTGTCGGGTAATCTCTGATTACATCATATGTGGAGTCTCTACTCCTTCATGTGTTCTAACCTCTCAAGGTGGACACCCATGAAAACCTATCAGAGCGAGCATCACCATACGCCCCCAAGCAAAGAGTCATGCTTCGTCTCTTCAAGATCACGTGTGAGAGTTCGTGGGGATTTGCCAAACCTTTGTAATCTCCATTACAACCACCACTTTTGGGTTCTACGCTTGGATAGGACAGCGGAAATATAAAACTTTTATTGTCGAAACGAAGATCCACCCAGGACCTCTTATAATTATTATAAGTTATTGTTTAGAAATATACTTTTCTTGGCGAGCAAGTAACGATATGTGTAGGTTGATGGATTGATCCAAGAGCTAGCCACAAAAGTATATGACCTCCAGTTGAGACACACGAACAATGAAGAGTGTTCTAAAGAAAATTATGCTAGTAATTTTTCTCTAGAATATTTCTAAAATATAAAATATTAGGTGTAAAGTATTAAGAGAACAAAATAATATTTTGTCTCTTAAAGGAGTTGTTAGGGCCAAAAATTCTAGTGGTAAAAGGGGTGGGATGATCAACTTTTTATAAGGAGTATAATGACCATTCATATTCCTAATAGGAATGTACCTTTTAGAGTTTAGGAAGGAAATCAAATCTCATTCTTATTCTACTTAGGAAATTTTGAATCCCGCTTTAAGAAAGCTTCTAATTTATTTTGTCAACTTTAATTATCATATAATTAACACAAAATAAATAATATAACATTTATTTTATATATATATATATATATATATATATATATATATATATATATACATATACATATATACAAAAGGGGGAGTTTTATTAAGAAAAGGAAGGAAAAGGAGTTACAACTACCAACGTCCAAAAAAGAGAAGAAAGAGGAAACAGAACATTCAAATGAGAAATGAGGATTTCAGATTTTTCCCGGTGCACCAAAATTGGTACAATCCCCAACCCTTGAAGTCTTTATCATAGACAAACCGTTTGTGGTTCCGGTTTATCCAGCACCAGCTCTGAATCAATTTGAAGCTCTGCTGTGTAATGGTAGGCTGAGATAAGAGCTTTCCTTCATAGATGTATGTGTTCCTCACTTTCCATAGAGACCAGGTGATGATTGCAGGGATGAAAAATCTGAGGTAACCTTTGAAGCTGTTTTGATTTCCCGTAAATCACCATGCTAGGAGATGTTGACGAAGAGTGAGAGGATTTTGAAGGAGGGGGCCATCAACTAACCTTGAAAAATAGTTCCATATTCCTTTACTGTACTCACATTTTAATAGAGAGTGGTCCTAAGTGTCTTCATGGGCTTTACAGAAAGGGCACATGCTGGGGAGATGGTAGCTGAATCTGCAAAGGTTTTTGGGGAAGGGAAGGCAGTTGAACAAGGATTTCCAGATGAAGGTTCTGAGTTTGGGAATTTGGGATTTATGCCAAATGTATTTTGCTGAAATGAGATTTGTCTGACCTTCAAGCAGGCAGTTGAAAGCATTTTTTAAAGAGAAAGTCCCCCCGTCCCAGCCTGGAATATTGTTTGTTAAGGAACAATGCTTTCTAGCGATGTGGTCAATCCTGTATATCCTCTTCCAAGTTGGGGAGTCAATAATTCTTCCTCTCATGATATTGCCAGCAAGATGTGGTCAATCCTGTATATCCTCTTCCGTGTGAATTTTCAACCAGAGTTTGAGAGAGTAGGCCTTTTGAATGGTCTCCAGATCCCTGATACCTAGCCCTCCTTCATGTTTAGGTTGACACAAGAAACTCCAGCTTTTCCAGTGATAATTGGGGTTACCCATTTTGCTTCCACAGAAGTAATTACTCATAAGGGAGTTGAGGTGAGAAGTGATTGACGAAGGTAGAAGGTGAACTGCCAGGTGGTGTAAAGGAATGGAAGAGAGGACATGTTTAATCAAGACGAGTCTGCCCATTTGGTTGATGGTTTTTCAGTACCAAGAAGTTAAATGCTTTTGGAAGTGGTCCACAATTTTGCTGTAGTGTTCTTTTCTAAGTATCCCTTTGCACAGAGTTGCCCCCCAAGTAGGAGAAGGGTAATTTGCCAGCCTTGATATTTAGAGCCTCCTCCATTTTATGAATCTGGACAGGGTTTATGTGTTAACTGGTGTAAAATCTGCTCTTGTTGTTGTTCATATCCTGGCCAGAGGCTGTGAAGTATTCCCTTAGAATGGCTTTGATTTTCAGCAAATTTCTAATGTCTCCTTTTGAAAAGATGATGAGATCATCTGCATAGATGAGTTGACTCACCATCTGTATGCTGCCCACATTGAACCTGTTGATAAAATGTGAAGACATATGTTTGTTAATCATTCTGCATAAACCCTCCCCCCCAATAATAAACAATAGAGGTGAAAGGGGGTCGCCCTGTTTCACCCCCCTTTCCATCTTGAAGAAACCAGTTGGTGCACCATTAAGGAGGATACTAAGGAAAGTGTTTTTAAGGTTTGCCATGAGAATGTTGATGGCTCCATCAGAGAAACCAAAGCCCTTTAGGATATGTTCAATGTAGCTCCATTCCATCCTGTCAAAAGCTTTAGCCATGTCAACCTTGATGATGACATTCCCCCCAAAAGTCTTTTTGTCCAGATGATGGATCGCTTCCTTTGCCAGAAGGATGTGATCATCACAAGATTTTCCTTTTTGAAAAGCTGCCTGCTCTTCAGAGATTATTTTTGGCAACAACGTTTTAAGCCTATTTGCAAGAAGCTTGGTGTTAATTTTACTCATGAACGTTGAGAGAGATATGGGCCTGAAATCATCAAAGGTTTTAGGGTTTTCCTTCTTGGGGATAAGAGAGATAAAGGTACTGCCATAACCTTTAGTAATAGGGAGCCCAAGGAAAAACTCCTGAGATGCCAAGAGGACATCATGTCTAATGATGGACTAGCAAGTTTTGAAGAAGTTGCCATTCTACCCATCTGGACCACTTGCACTGTCTCAATCTAGACTCCAAATCGTGTTCCTAACCTCCTCCATACAAGGAATGGAAGTTAGGAATGCATTGTCTTCTTGTGTGATGACTGCATGTATAGTAGAGAGAATAGGCTCCATATTACCACAGGGAGTGGATTTAAAAGCCTTTTGAAAGTGAGAGATGTATTCTTGTTTGATATAATCTTGAAAAGAAAGACCTCTGCCCTCAGAAGAAATGATATGATTGATATTCAGCCTTTGTCTCTTCCCCCTAACAAAAGCTTGAAAGACTTTAGAATTGGTGTCTCCCTTCTCCAACCATTTTACATTTTCTTTTTGTTTCCAATAAGACACCTCTCTGTTGACGGCTTGAACAAGTTGAGCATTTGCAAGTTGGGCCCCTTCACAGTTGAGGTCAGAAGGGTCTAGCTCATAGGTTTCCTGGGCTTTGGATGCAATTTCCTCTGCTTCTTTGAGTTTAAGGAAGATATTGCCAAAATGGGACGAGTTCCAATCCTTAAGGGCCAGTTTAAGGGTTTTCAGTTTCAAAACCAGACCTCTCATACCTCCAATAGTGGGAGTGCTGCTCCAAGAAGCTTGGATAGTGGCAAGGAAGGAATCATGCTGCGTCCAGGCGTTAAGAAATTTGAATGGTTTTGCACCATAAGGGGGTGTGTCCAAGCAGAAAAGCAGTAAGGGTTTATGATCAGAGTTTGCTCTAGGCAAGTGAGTGAGGGCCAAATCCTCAAAAGAAGCCATGGTGTCCAGATTGAGTAGGACTCTATCAAGTTTGTGCCAGGTCCTGCCCTGACTTCGAACTCCTGACAATGTGAATAAAGAACCTTTTGGCTCTGGACAGACCAAGTTACAGTTGTTTATGCAGCTCAAGAAATCCTCCATACTCTGAAGGTTGGGAAGACATTTGCCTTTGGATTCAATGGGTGAGGTAATCGCATTAAAGTCTCCACCTATAATCCATCTTTTTGCCAAGGGATGAAAATTTTGTAAATTTGACCAAAGGGCTTTCCTCCCTGCAACAGAATGGGAACCATAGACTGAGGAGATCACCAAGGGGGGGGGAGTTGGTGTTCAAAGAGAATTCACAGTGAGTAACTTGGGAAACTTCTGTATATGACAGGAGGGTAGGGGAAAGAGAGTTCCAGAAAATCCAAATCTTGTTGCTTTGGGACAAGAGATGATGTGTAAAACCTAGGTGAAGCATGTAGGTTTGAATCTGGGAGGGATGGACGAGAGGTTCAATAACACATAGGAAATCTAAATTGTGCTTCCTCTTAAGAAAAATAAGTCTGCTAAGGGAGGAGGCAACCCCACAGATATTCCAGAAAAGGAGCTTCATGATATTAAAGGGTTGGGAGATACGCCTTTATTAGTTTTACTTCTTGTCATCATCCCCGATGGGGGGATCTCTCTCTTTGATTTTGAGAATTTGGGGAGAGGGATAGGGACTTGAGAACAAAATCTAAGGTCCATATCCAAAGGGACCAGATTACCATTGATGAAAGGTTTTGCACCTTCTTCCCCCTCAGAGTGACAGTAGATAGGGGTTTCAGCTCCTTCCTGAGCATCCTTTTCATGCCCTTCCAATCCACAGACCATATTGGGGTGAATCCAACAATCATCCTTGCGACCTGGGAGAGTAACTAAGGGTTTTTCATCGTCAAAATGGTTGTGCGAAAGGGGAACGAAGGGAACAATATCCATACAGCCAATGAAGTTATCCACTTTTAGGTATGAGAGGTCAGGGAAAGGGCTATCTTCCACCACCTCTAGAGGGAAAAAACATTCCAAATCCGAGGCAATGGGTTAAATAATGGGGGATAAGATCAAAGGCTCTTCTTCTTGGATCTCCTCAATTGTAGGCATTAGAGATTCCCAGTCTTCTGTCAGAGGTGTCGTAATTGGGCGTGCCATTATTTGCTCTGACTGTGGGGCAACCTTCTTACTCAGCTTGGAGTAACCCGTTTGTTTCCAAGAGGAAAAATTATTGCTATAGGGAGTGGGCTTGTAGGGAAAAGCAGAAACTTTAGGTTTTGACTGGCCCACACTATTCTGATTTGCTATGTGTTTTTGGCTTCTACCCTTTACCCATATCCATCCCTCATCTGTACTACACCCTCGTGAGACTACTCCTGCCGGTCCCACCTCACTGGACGGAGCAGCGACAGTGAGGTTTTCCGGCCCTTTAATCCGGCAATCTTTTGGTGCATGTCCAAATCTAGAACAAGATGAGCAATATGGTGTGTGGTTTTCGTATGAACAAGGAAGCCAAAGATCCTTAGCACCTAAACGAACATGGATTTTAGGGGCCTTGGAGATAGAAACATCCATTTCAACACAGAACCTTGTACGATCAGGGAAAACTCCAATGACCGAGTTTGAGTCCAGCTCTAAGGGTTTCCCCAGGGAGGAAGCAATAGAATATAGAACATTATGATCGTGAAGATGAAGTGGGAGCTTGCTTACCTCAACCCAGAGTGGAATAATTGGACAATCTTTTGAGGAGGAGTGCTCAGGGGTCCACTTGGTGAGGTTGATAAGGTTTCCCTTAATGGTCCAGCGTCTCCTGTGAAACCAACGTAAATAATCTTCCTCATGCTTGAAGATGAAAATAATCTCCTTGGGTGACAAGAGTTGGAGTTTGAACTCCTTATAACCACCTTTAATAAGGCAGTCTTCAGCTTCCCTAATGGAAATATGCTTAGAACCTCTTCCCACCACTGTAAACTGAAAGTTTCCAGCGAGCTTGCACTCTTCCTCCGCTGAGAAAATTACTGATGGGGCGCCCTTGTAGAAACCACCACTTTGCCAAGGGATGCTGGAGAAATTTCCCATGAGAAGGTCTGAGAAAAGGGTTTTCCTCGGCACCTTGGTGTGTGTGACAAGTTTTTCCGGCGGGTTTCCGGTGGCCGGAAACCTAGATAGAGAAAGGGCCTCCATCATATATATATATATATATATATATATATATATATATATATATATATATATATATATATATATATATATATATATATTGGTTCAGGTGAGAATGCGATCTTATGAAAGAAATAAGAATGAATCTGGTGCATTAGATTGTGAGATCTAAGGGTTAGGATTGCATCAAAATTAGATGCACCAAAATGGTTTGAAAATGCATCAGGTAGAAATGCACCATAATCCCTTGAAAATGCATAATCTCAAAATCTGAGTGCGGGATGCAATCTGAGCCGCACGATGCATCAAATCTAAATGCTGGATTTTATTCTTATTTCTTTCACCAAGGTGTATTCTCACCTGAACCGCCCCCTATTATATATATATATATATATATATATATATATATATATATATATATATATATATATATATATATATATATATGGAGCAGTTCCAATGAGAATAGAGCTCATTGAAAGAAATAAGAATGAAGCACATCCCTTAGATTAGATGTATTCGATGGCTATTATTTAGTCATTCAAAAACAATAAAACAAGGCAAGTAATAATAATAGTGCGTCAATGTAGGGATAGATTAGTTCACAAGGGCATATTAGTATTTTTGAAATATGGAATACATAATAGTCGTGCTCCCTTGTTTTAATGCAAATGATCACAAGATGTAGGGATATATCAATACCCTCCGTCCTCAATTTGATTACAAATTGCAGGTTACAGAGTAAAATTTTCTACTTTTTGAAATCACTTTATTTAGAAATTGATATATCAATAAGATATAAAAATTACATATTAAATACTTAATGAAATCGCGTAAACAAACAAAAATTATCGAGAAGAAAGAAAAAAATTGTAATCTATTTAGGCACGGAGGGAGTAATTATTTAATGCTCCCTTGAGTCAATGTAGGAATAGAATAATAAATATTTAATTATTATTCTGCACTGTGCATCTAGCTTTCTATACACAAGTACATCTTTGACAAATACAGAGTAATATGCAATGGAAAATACCTAGTTAAGATATCCAACAAAAACCAATATCAGAATGTAAGATTTTGGAATTATCTTCACAAATTTCAAAAATAAAAATAACATTTACTAATTTTTTCTCTATTATTAATAAATCATTTTTAGCCAATTTCATGGGAGATGCATTATGATATCCACCATTTTAGATCTAATGTGAATGCTTTGTGATGAGCGATATATGCACTTTCATTTTTTGTTTAGATTTAAATTAAATTTTATTCTATTAATTTATGGATTAGTGAATAATGACTTCTAAGTGACTGATGGATACCCAGGAATTGGGGTATCCAGCAGGAAGACGGCCCAGCCCAACTTCGCCAAGGCCCACTTGGCAGGACCAAAGCAAGAATGAACAAAGGACAATGGAAGACCACCCCGGCAGCGGTACGCGTTCGGCCCCGGTAGGGTCGGTCATCCTCGGACCACCCCTGGCCGGCCTTCCGCCAAGAGACTTCCGAAGACAGGTCGTACGCTCGGCCTCGGCCCTGGGCAATGGCAGGCCAGACCTGGACAAGGAAGCTGACTGAAGTCAAGATCAAGGGGCCCACGATTAGACCCCCGCCATGCCTCTGGTAGAGTTGCTATAGCCACCCTATTTGTAACCTATTTTGTATAGCAATCCTAGGGTTAATGATGCGGTTGGACGCCGCCAGTGAACAACCCAATCTCAGTGGGCCCATACTTGGACTATGGACCAACGGTCGGAACCCTAGTTGTAATCTGCATATAAACCCCTTCCCTTCTAAAGGAAGGGGGGGACATGTTTTTACTTACGTTCTAACTCGGGCAATATTACTCTACGTTCACTTGACCCCGGATTTTGTGCACTCTCGACTTAGTTCGATACTCTTCCGTCTAGTTTCCTAGGCCCCCGGGTTCCTTAACCCAACATTGGTGCTCTCGTTGAGATAGTCAAACACATCAGGCGTGCTCAGAGAAAATGGTTGCGTCAAGAAGAGTGACCCGATCATCTGCCGCCAACACCGGTGGTGGCCTCAAGATGACTGTCACGGCGCCGATCGGCGCGTGTCACGATGACCTGGACGTCAGCCTCAATGACGTCGTTAGTCTGAACACCGCTGATCTACGCCATCGCATTCCCAGGCGGCGAACGACGAACGTTGGGGGGTCTCAAGCACCTACCCAGCAAGCACCTACCCAGGGCGCCGGCATTTTGACTCAACCTTCTCCCAACGGATTCGTATGTGGAGAAGCTGTGATGCTGCCCGGTGACTTCAACTCACCGCTTTTCCAATTTGGGGAGACCTCTGGTATAAGGACTCCAGGCCTAGACCCTAGCGATTTCTGGGCCATGATGAGGGCGAAGATGTTCAATCAACCCATGACTGGCTTCCACATGCCGGTCACGATTCCGCAGCCGACGTTCCAACCCGAAGGACGTCGTGAGATCCAGCAGAACGTGGTGGAAAGCGCAGAGCTTTTCGCTCAACACTTGAAGAACGTGATGACGGACTCCCGCATGAACCTTTCGGCGGGGGGACCCGAGAACAAGGACTTGAGCCGCTCCCAGCAGCGGGATAACGGCAATGCCCCGGAGCGTAGGGCCAACAAGAAGCAGACTAGCCGTCGAGACAAGGATACGGCAAGCAAGCTCCATGAACCCCTGAAAGAAAAACAGGGCGAAAGTGAGTCGCACGTGTCTCTGTTCAGCCGGATGCGAGTGCCGGCCACGGAACGGTTGCATGGCCGACGGAACGCCTTCCTGCAGGGCGGAGCAGGGAAAATGAGGATGCCTTGCGAAGAACAGTGTGACCGACAGAGAGAAGTCCATCTAGAAAGGCCGAGTTCCCAGATCGAGCAGTCCAACCATCATCCGATCTTGAGAGCGCCGCAGGGGGCGCCCAACACGATGGATGGGGGCGTTGGCAAGTCGGGGGACGAATGCCTCGATTTTCTCTTGCAGAGGCTTGACGCCTTAGAAAAAAGAAGCGACCCGGGACACGTGGCCGAACCTGTGTTCAGACTCCGTTCTCCTTTCTAGGAGAGGATTCTGAGGGCACCTTTGCCGAGTAGCTTCCAGATGCCACCAATACCGAGGTACAACGGAACTGCCGACCCGCAGGAGCATTTCAACCGGTATCAAACCCTCATGAACGTGGTGACGTTTTTGTTAGTCGGTTTAGTCGTTGTGCCAACGCCTTCGAGGGGGGGTGAATAAGGCGTTTTAAAATATTTTTGGAGTTTAATAAAAATGGTGTTGGCAAATGCGGAAGCAGTATATAAAATGCAAAAGTAAAAGCGTAAAGTAAATGCATACCGATTTTATACTGGTTCGGGAACTCCCTACTCCAGTACCTTAAGGCTCCTCCTTAAGAATTTTCAATCCACTAGAACGCCTTGACCGTCTCAATACAATCGTCACAAGGGAACCAGTCTTTGGCAAACAAACATTTGCCAATAGGTTTACACTAGATCGACAATACTTCACGCCTTGAAGTATCCAACTAGATTGAGGATTTTCCAACGGCTATCCCCAACCGTGCACCGAAGATTTGCAGGATGTCTTCAACCTAGAGATTTGCAACGGCTATCTCCAACAGTCTCATTAAGGATTTCACGGATGTCCTTGACTGCTTCCGGAGATTTCACCACGGCTATCTCCAACCGTCTCAATGAAGATTTTACAACGGATATCTTCAACGTATTACAAGGATATGATAATTTGAATAAATCAACACCACCCCAAGAATATGAAATACAAGATTGGGTTGGTGTGATGTTTCCTATACACTCTAACAATTACAACTCTCTTATAGATAATATGAGTGTATATTTCTTTTGAATCAAGCTCAATGTGTGTTCGAGAAAATATATTGAAGAAATGGCTCTTTAATAGCCTAATAAAAATCAGAGATTTTTATGAACACAAGAAGAAAGAATTAAGAGATTTTAGCAAGGCTTGATTTATTTAAAACATTGAAATGGTTTGGGTGTTTATAGGGATGGATTAGGAGTTGTTTGAAATTGAAAAATAGCTGTTAGAGAAGAATAATTAACTCCTAATACCATAATAAAAATAATCCAACCGTTGGGTGTGAAAAAGACAAGAATTAAAGAATCTGGTCTCCGAACGGTCCATTACATCGACCGTTTCAGTCCAAACGGTCGACCGTTCGGGGTAACATTCAGATTCCTCCAACGGTCAGTAGGACGGTCGACCGTCTAGGTGTAACGGTTCACCACATCGACCGTTCGTTACTGAGTGCGCAATTTTGAAATAATTTTGGTACAATGTTAATAACTTTTTGAATACTAATCAGAATTGAGTAATTCAAGAAACGACGATCTAGTATTGAGAAGAGTTATAACTTTAATTAAATATTTTGAAAAAAAAATATATTTTTCGAAAATATTTACCAAATGTATTTTAAAATTAATACCCAAGTAAAAATCTTTTTTGTGTGTGTGTGCAAATTTTAGCTTGAGCTTAGAGGTATATCATTCAAATATCTTTAACAATAAATGACTCTAAGCTATTCTATGCTAGTCCTGTGTGAGCTAACGTATTTACGCAATCAACGCGTTTTAGTGGATTTTGTCGTTCCTACACAATTGAACAAACGTTAGCTCAATTAAATTATTTGTTAACATCAAAACATGAGATTAAGCATACCAAGGCTAACAATCTCCCCCTTTTTGATGTTGACAAATAATTTTCTTCAAAGTAAGATTTAGGTAGGAGTAAAGGATTCATGCAAGCTCCCCCTAAAACATAGCATTTTTTAAAAAAAAAAAATTCTCACTTTGTATTTTCCATGTGTTTATGTAGAACTGATGATCAATTAACATGTATAAAACACATAAAAACTTTGAGAGAAAAAAAATGTCACTTTGAAGTACACATATTTCTCCCCCTATTTGTCAAGAGCAAAAAGGATTGATAAAAAGTGTAGATTTTCTTCAAAACCCCTCCCCTTATTTGTGCCATATTTTAGTTTTCCTCATAGCATACCAAGGCTAAGCATTTCCTTTTTTATGATTCTTAGATTTCATGCACTCCGGCAGAACCGGTTAATGATTTTGATACTAAATTTAAAATTATTCAAGATAGTCAATGAAGGCAATTTCACATTAAGCACAAAGTCATCAAAAAGTACCAAAGTTTTAACATATTGTGCAAAATAAGAGTAAATGAAATTTAATAACAATAATCATCATCAACATTTGCCATGTTGTCAATGTCATCATCATCATCATCATAAATATTCACAAAAAGAGGATTAGAGGACATAAAAAATCAAAGGTTACTGGAAACGTAACGGTCGACCGCAGTAAGAAACGGTCCATCGTAAGGACCGTAGGTCGTGGATAACAGGGGGTCAGACAACGCATCGATCGTCTGTAGCAATTCACTTTTGATCCCAAATCTGTCATAATCACGGTCACCCGTGGCAAATGCGGAAGCAATATATAAAACGCAAAAGTAAAAGCGTAAAGTAAAGGCACACCGATTTTATACTGGTTCAGGAACTCCCTACTCCAGTACCTTAAGGCTCTTCCTGAAGGATTTTCAATCCACTAGAACGCCTTGACCGTCTCAATACGATCGTCACGAGGGAACCAGTCTTTGGCAAACAAACCTTTGCCAATAGGTTTACACTAGATCGACAATACTTCACGCCTTGAAGTATCCAACTAGCTTGAGGATTTTCCAACGGCTATCCCCAACCGTGCACCGAAGATTTGCAGGATGTCTTCAACCTAGAGATTTGCAACGGCTATCTCCAACCGTCTCAACAAGGATTTCACGGATGTCCTTGACTGCTTCCGGAGATTTCACCACGGCTATCTCCAACCGTCTCAATGAAGATTTTACAACGGATATCTTCAACGTATTACAAGGATATGATAATTTGAATAAATCAACACCACCCCAAGAATATGAAATACAAGATTGGGTTGGTGTGATGATTTCTATACACTCTAACAATTACAACTCTCTTATAGATAATATGAGTGTATATCTCTTTTGAATCAAGCTCAATGTGTGTTCAAGAAAATATATTGAAGAAATGGCTCTTTAATAGCCTAATAAAAATCAGAGATTTTTATGAACACAAGAAGAAAGAATTAAGAGATTTTAGCAAGGCTTGATTTATTTAAAACATTGAAATCGTTTGGGTATTTATAGGATGGATTAGGAGTTGTTTGGAATTGAAAAATAGCTGTTAGAGAAGAATAATTAACTCCTAATACCATAATAAAAATAATCCAACCGTTGGTTGTGAAAAAGACAAGAATTAGAGAATCTGGTCTCCGAACGGTCCATTACATCGACCGTTTCAGTTCAAACGGTCGACCGTTCGGGGTAACGTTCAGATTCCTCCAACGGTCAGTAGGACGATCGACCGTCTAGGTGTAACGGTTCACCACATCGACCGTTCGTTAATGAGTGCGCAATTTTGAAATAATTTTGGTAAAATGTTAATAACTTTTTGAATACTAATCAGAATTGAGTAGTTCAAGAAATGAAGATCTAGTATTGAGAAGAGTTATAACTTTAGTTAAATATTTTGAAAAAAAAAATATATTTTTCGAAAATATTTAATGTATTTTAAAATTAATACCCAAGTAAAAATCTTTTTTGTGTGTGTGCAAATTTTAGCTTGAGCTTAGAGATATATCATTCAAATATCTTTAACAATAAATGACTCTAAGCTATTCTATGCTAGTCCTGTGTGAGCGAACGTATTTACGCAATCAACGCGTTTTAGTGGATTTTGTCGTTCCTACACAATTGAACAAACGTTAGCTCAATTAAATTATTTGTTAACATCAAAACATGAGATTAAGCATACCAAGGCTAACAGTTTTCTGAGGAAGTCCTTTGCAGATCGTTCCCCGCCACTCTCGACGGGTTGGCGTCTGAGTGGTTCAATGAGTTGCCTGAGGGGAAGATCGATTCCTGGGAAGATTTGGCGCGGAGGTTCCTAGTGCACTTCGCCAGAAACAGAAAGAAGAAGTTGCATTTCTCGCACCTCCTGTCGGTACGACAGAGGCCGGACGAGCTATTGAGGGAATTCCTGGCGAGATGGAAGCTGGACACCACCAGAGCCATTGAGGGAATTCCTGGCGAGATGGAAGCCGGACGACAAAACCAGGTTATCCACTTTCCATCTAGTTCTACGGTCAGGTGACTTCTCCAAGCGGCTGGCTTTGGAGTAGCTGAGGGAGTATGCCATCCCTCTAGCCATGGCAGAGGACGAAGCCGAAGCAGAAGAGTTGGAGGCAAACAAGAAGAAAGAGGAGGCAGGAAGACCGGGGCCCGTTTTGACGGCGGCAAAGCCCCCGGCAAGGAAGGTCACCATTGAAGAGTGGTCACATCTGCCAGTCGGACACCGTTTCTGAAGGGGCAGAGACCCGCGTGACACACGGTCCCTCGGAAAGGACGCGTATGAAGAAGGGGCAGAGGACAGGAAACCTTATTCCCCCAGTGGTCCCAAGCTGTTATTTCTGGATGAGCTTACACCTCTTACACACCCCGTTAGAGCCATCCTAGATTTCGCTGAGCATCAAGGCTTGGTGGAATATGACCCGAGATTTCCTCCGATTTGTACTGTGGGTGAGGGTCCTTATTGTCGGTTTCACAGAGCAGCCGGCCATGACACGAACGCGTGCAAAGTCCTCAAGAGGGAGATCGAAAATCTGATCCAGGCTGGATACTTGAGGCAGTTCGTCAAAAAGAAGAATACATGGTGCAAAGACGATGGAAAGAAAAATACGGACAACCGAGGGAAGAAACCGGCAGGAACCCAATAGAAGAATAGGAAGAAGATAGGCCTTCCAAGTGATGAGGAAGAAGAAGCTGACCCTAGGTAGAAGAGGATTGAAGAGAGCCGAATGATATACGGTGGTAACACCAGAGGGGATAGTGCCGAGCACAGGAAGAAGTGGGTGCACTCGGCTTACATCGGGGACGTTTGCAGCACGCCTGGACCGTCGAAGATCACGAAGACAGAGCCCCTCCTATTCAATCCCAAGGACCTACCTGAGATCCCATCCCCGCACCGAGACGCCCTGGTCGTTAAGTGCGAGATCAATGAGGTGGTAAGTCACCGATCCTACATTGATAATGGGAACTCGGTCAACATCATGTATGTGAAGACATTTGAGGAGTTGGGATTGAAAAAAGAACTCTTGAAGAGAGTAAAGACTCCCCTATCTGGATTCACGGGGGACATCATCGATTAGGAGGGCCTGATCGAGGTAATGGTCACCTTTGGTGACGGGGAGCATAAGAAGACCATTCCGGTCGAGTTCATGGTGGTGCGACTTCTTGGATCCCACAACCTGATTCTGGGCCGACCTGCACTGGAAGACCTCGATTCCATAACGTCTGTAAAATACTTGTGCATGAAGTTCCCAACTGATTCGGGAGTGGGAGTGTGTAGAGGAAGCTAGAAGCTCGCCCGGCTCTGCTACCAACAGCATTGCCACGGCACTGTTGAAGGAGGAAGAAGGACATCCTCGAGCTGAGCCGGCCGAGAAAACAGAAGATGTGGTGATAATGGAGGAGCAGCAGGAGAAGAAGATCAAGCTCAGTATCAACATGAGTGCCGAGCTTCGGTCAAAAATCATTCAGGTACTCAAGGAGAACTTTGTGGTGTTCGCATGGAATGTCGAGGACATGCTCGGAGTCAGCAAGTCTCTCATCACCCACCGCCTGGCGGTGGGAGCGGAGGAGGAGCCCATAAAACAGAGGAGGTGACACCTGAGCAAAGACCAGAGGGATTTTGTGAAGAAGGAAGTAGACATGCTTCAGGCTGCGGGGCATGTCAAGGAGATCAAATACCCCACCTGGAGGGCTAACGTCGTGCTGGCGCCGAAGGGGCAGACGTTCAGGATGTGTGTGGATTACACTGACCTGAACCGAGCTTGTCCTATGGACCCCTTCCCTTTGCCCAACATTGATCAGATGATCGACGAAACGGCCGCGTGCGAGGTAATGTCTTTCATGGACGCATTCAGAGGATATCATCAAGTGTTCATGCACGAGGAGGATGCCGAGAAGACGGCGTTCCTCACCCCGGAGGGGGTGTATTGTTATTTGGTGATGGCATTCGGATTTTAGAACAGTGGAGCCACATACACGAGGATGGTCGGCCGAGTATTCCACTCGGTCTTGGGAAAGACAATGGCGGCATACGTAGACGACATGATCGTCAAGAGCAAGCAGTCCTCCGACCATGCGCAGGACCTTTCCCAGGTTTTTTCTACTATGCGCAAGTTCAACTTACGTCTTAACCCCAAGAAATGCACATTTGGTGTAGAAGGTGGCAAGTTCCTACGATATCTCATCAGTCGACGAGGTATCGAACCCAACCCGGAGAAGGTCAAGGCGATCCTGGATATGGAGGCCCCCCGTTCCATAAAGGAAGTGCAGCGTCTGACGGGAAAGATGGCCGCGCTCGGCCGATTTTTGTCAAAATCTGCCGAGAAGAGCATCCCTTTCTTCGGCACACTGAAGAAGGTCTCGAAATTCCAATGGACGCCCGAATGCCAAGCCGCGTTCGAAGGATTGAAGAAGTATTTACTAACCCCACAGGTGTTGGCGAAGCCGATCAAGGGTGAGAAGCTGTACCTCTACTTGGGCGTCAGCCCTGGAGCCATAAGTTTAATCTTGTTACGAGAGGAAGGGGACAACCAACGCCCCATCTACTATGTCAGCAGAACCCTGAGGGATGCCGAGCTCAGATACTCGGTGGTGGAGAAAGCAATCATGGCCGTCGTTGACAAACCGCGTATAGCGGTAAGTCAACAAATATCCAAGTTAGACTCGGGTCATTCTCTCCAGGAGTGGCGAAGGGAATAGTTAGCTTTATTATTTATCACAGGTAAATTTAGTCTAAGAGACGCGAATAAATGATAAAACAACTTCAAGAGTTAAGATCAGAACGCGGACTTAACACTTTAACTCATTTTTTTATTAACAATTGGATTAATGAAATGTGTAACACTTATGTTTAATATATCTCCTATTTCTAGGTCTCAATATAAAACATAAATGCTAATCTTATATTTAATACATCTCCTATTTCTAGGTCTCAGTATTAAGTCTAAGATTATTATATTTCCAGTACATCTCCTATTTCTAGGTCTCAATACTGTGTTAGAAAATGTTTGGCTTAAATAATTCTAAATCCTCATAGACAAGGCAAGAACTAATTTCCAATTATTTAATTAATAAAATGTTTAGTATTATTAATTAGTTAAAACCATTCCAAATAGTTATTTCTAACTCTGCCTATTTCTAGGTGTTGGAATGTGTGGCTTAATTAACCTTTTTACCTCATAGACAAAGTAAAAGATTAATTTCCAAGGATTAATTAATAATAAAAACAATTTTACTAATTAATAAAGAGTAATTCATTTTCTAACAATTAGTCCAATTACTAATAAATATATGAAATTAAATTGGTTAAATCTTAATTCTGAATCCTAACTCATTTAAAATTACCAATTCATAATCCTCATAACAACATATAAAATCCTCAAACACATATCAATCATCAACAAAATGATATTTTGTTGATAAAAAGTTCAATAAAGATTACAATAAAAAGAAAAGAAAAACTTACAGTGCTTTAGAAACTTGAGAATTAACTTTGGATAGTAAAATTTGACAAACAAAAATTTTAAAAGATTATATAGGAAAGAAGAAGGGGAATTTTCACCCCAAAAAGGAGAAAAAACGAAGGGAATTGTGTTGGGAAAGGGGAGGAGCCGCGCAGCTTTTATAGGGGTGGAGGACCGACCGGCGGGTAGACCGGCGGCCGCCGGTCAGCGACCCACCGCTGCTACTGATTTCCAAAAGAATATCGCCACTTCCAGCCGCTGTCGATAGGCGGGCAGGCAGGCGGTCGCCTGCAAGCCTGCCGGCGCTCCTCTAGCTCGCCGGATCTGCTTCTCGCCGCCGCCGCCAACCTGACCGGCGGCCAGGTAGGCCGCCGCCTGCCAGGCCGCCTACTGTGCTGCTCCGGTCCGTCGATGCTATCCTGCTTAAAATTTCGTTCTGAACACTTTTTCCTTCTGTACCGACTTCTAATTCCGCACCGTTTGTGAGATAGAATTGTTTTTCTATTAAAAATTTACTCTTTTTACTCCATTCTTGGCCCAATTTTACATCTTAATTCAAAGACATTCTTTTTATGACCCATTTATCAAAACATATATTTTTGGTGAAAAATGATAAATAATTTACTAGTTTGATAATTTAAATGGTACAAGAACGTATTAAATATAAGTAAAAAGATAAGTATGAAACGGACTTATCAATCTCCACACACTTAAACGTTGCTTGCCCTCAAGCAACTCACCATCTACTCACACAAGTATGAAAAAGAGTGTTTGATTAAATTCTAAAATCTTATTTCCTTGTAATAGTAAGTTAATATATATTTAGTATTATTTACTTCGCACCTTCCTTTATTTTCTAAAAACTAAATAACTCATCACTCTTTTTTCAAAAATTTAACAATGAAACTCATTTTAAAATTTTGCATGAGTAACTTTCTCTTCCAAAATCCCTTAAGGTCAGTAACAATTTTTAGCCTTTTGGTCCACTTATTTCAATTATTTATTATTATTATTATTATGCCCGTGACTTGTCCCATAATGCCTTATTATTATTATTTTGTTTTTTTACTTCTGTATTAATTTATAAGAGAAAGGCAAAGCTCCAAAGGAGATAGGATACTCAATTCGACACCTAAGCGCGGGCAATTTGGCAATACTGCTCGGGTTGTGGGTTTATCCCATTACTTTTGCATACTTTCTCCCTCGCCTTATGCGATTCACGGGAGAAGCAGAGCTCCTTCTCGGAGATAGGATTCCCAATTCGTCACTAAAGCGCAACCCTCACAATTAGCTTTGTTTATTTATTTCAGATAAAGTAAAGCAACCAAAAGACCTACAATCATTAAAAACCTTAACTTACTCAACTAAAATCCACTCATGCAAAATCATCAAAATAAAAGTCCATTGTTGAGATCTAAAAAAAGAAGTGAGTAGTTATTTAAATTGTTAGAAAATAAAAGAAAATGAAAAGTAAATTAAATACTAAATATATTAATTGATTATTGAACGAGGAATTAAAAATTTTAAAATGTAATCATACCTGATATCTAACTTTGCCTCCTCACACTTAAGCTCGACCTCGCCCTCGAGGTCCAAATGTGGGCTGCAAGTAGAAAATCCAAGTAGGACAATCCTCTTCACACTTAGTTTGAAGCATATGATGAGAGGCAAGATTTTTGTGATCATAAAAAGTAAAAATATTTGGCCAAGATTAGAAATAAAAAGTTATTTTCAATAGAAAATAATTTTGTGCGTCAAAACAGTTTTTGGTGCGAAAAGACTAGCTGGGCTCATTGCAATGGCTTCTCTTTGTTTTCCCTGCAAGAAAAGAAAACAACAAAACAAAAGAAAAAATTGACAAGTGCACAGTGTGTGAAAGTGTGAACGAGAACTACTACTGATTTAATTATTATTATTATTATTATTATTATTATTATTATTGTAATGACGGGTTGCCTCCCGTTAAGCGCTAATTTAACGTCATTAGCTTGACGCCATTATTTCTAAACTTGGTAAAACAAACAAAACTAACAGAGCACTCTCCTCGAGAGTCTCCAACTTTTTCTGAATAATCGCCATAAGGTGGCGCAGACCTAGATATTCGTGAAGCCAAGGAAAATTGAAAATCCTATAAAAAGAACTGATCACCCCGAAGCGTAAAAGATATTCTGATAAAGGTATAGGTTTGGGGATGCTTGACTTCACGAAAAGTGGTTCAAAGAGACCCTCTTTTTGTGGAAAAATCTTTGGTGACTCAAGGTCTCTTTGAATGAGTTTTTCTAAGGGACTTTTTTCAAGATATACGTTATGGTCAAATTCAACAGAGCCCCCTAAATGATCAATGCCCTCGGAATTTTGTAAAAATTCTGCTTTAAGTTCGCTCTTATGTTCTCCATTTCCCTCGTCGATAGAGGAACAAACAGGTTCTTGTTCGTCTATTTTCTCTTCTATACCAAATGGAGAAACAATAGTGCTTTCCTCGGGCACTACTCCCTCCAACCCATTATTGTGATTTTCATTATTTTTAATTGAATTTACTCGAACAAAAATACCTTTATTAAGCAAGTTCTTCAATGTTTCTTGATATTCAACTTCAAAGTTAGCCCAAAGATTTTCTTGTTCAAGATAATATTCATTTTCATCAAATTCCTCATCTTGAGGTGGTTGGCCTAAAGAAGGTGTTCCTTCTTGCGCTATATTTGATTCAACAATTTTATCCACCTCAATTTCCTCATCCTCAGATTCATCATCTAACCATTCATTTTGATGAATTTTATTAGACTCATTAGGATTGAATTCTAATAATTCATAGAGATTTCCAATTTCCTTAAGAATATCTTCTTTTTCATTATTGAAAATCTCTAGATTAGAATCAGGTTTTAGAGAAGAATAAGGAAAAGTATAACAAAGATCACCTTCTTCATTTACTAAACCCTTCTTTTTAAGGAATTCATCAAAATCAAGGTTAGTACATCTCTTTAATTCTATTTGCCCAATTAAATTTCTTATAATGCGATCCATGTCATTTTTTATTGATTTTAATTCATTGCTAATCACATCAAAATTATTAATAGGGAAAAGTGAGGAATAAGGAGAGGAATAATTTTCTTGATAATCAAAGTTATTGTAATTATCCTCCTCTTCAAGATTACTTTCATTGAAAAATCTAGGGGGATTATTACAATAATTTTGATTATCATTAAAATCACAATAATTATTTTGATAATTTGGTAAATGATCAAAATTATTAAAATTTCTCTCATGATCATAATCATCAAAATAATTATTATTCATAAGAGAATTGTAATACCAATTGTTTTCAAAATCTTGATCATTACCAAAATTATCTTGAAAACTTTGTGAACAACCAAAATTACCATTATCATAATTATTCCACCTATTACCATTAAATTGATAATCATTTTCAATCATAGGTGGATTTTCAAAAAAACTATTTCCATAATGGTAATTTTCGTTATAATCATTAGAAAAATTATTTTCACAATATGGGTATGGCGGGAAATCATTAAAATGGGAATTATAAAAATTATTAAAACGATTCATAAAAATGTAAATAAGGAAAAAAACAAATAATCAAGAAATAAAAGGAGTAGACTAAAAATTTGCCTATGAAAATATAAAAACTGACTAAACCGTGCCACTCCCCGACAACGGTGCCATTTGACAAACTGCGTGCAGCGGTAAGTCAACCAGTATCCGAGTTAGACTCGGGTCGTTCTCTCCAGGAGTGGCGAAGGGAATAGCTAGCTTTATTATTTATCACAGGTAAATTTAGTCTAAGAAACGCGAATAAATCAGAAATAAGTGACTTAAAATAAATGATAAAATAACTTCAAGAGTTAAGATCGAAACGCGGACTTAACACAATTTAACTCATTTTTTATTAACAATTGGATTAATGAAATGTGTAACACTTATGTTTAATATATCTCCTATTTGTAGGTCTCAATATAAAACATAAATGCTAATCTTATATTTAATACATCTCCTATTTCTAGGTCTCAGTATTAAGTATAAGATTATTATATTTCCTGTACATCTCCTATTTCTAGGTCTCAATACTGTGTTAGAAAATGTTTGGCTTAAGAAATTCTAAATCCTCATAGACAAGGCAAGAACTAATTTCCAATTATTTAATTAATAAAATGTTTAGTATTATTAATTAGTTAAAACCATTCCAAATAGTTATTTCTAACTCCGCCTATTTCTAGGTGTTGGAATGTGTGGCTTAATTAACCTTTTTACCTCATAGACAAAGTAAAAGATTAATTTCCAAGGATTAATTAATAATAAAAACAATTTTATTAATTAATAAAGATTAGTTCATTTTCTAACAATTAGTCCAATTACTAATAAATATATGAAATTAAATTCGTTAAATCTTAATTCCGAATCCTAACTCATTTAAAATTACCAATTCATAATCATCATAACAACATATAAAATCTTCAAACACATATCAATCATCAACAAAATAATATTTTATTGATAAAAAGTTCAATAAAGATTACAATAAAAAGAAAAGAAAAACTTACAGTGCTTTAGAAATTTGAGAATTAACTTTGGATAGTAAAATTTGACAAATACAATTTTAATAGATTATATAGGAAAGAACAGGGGGAATTTTCACCTCAAAAAGGAGAAAAAACGAAGGGAATTGCGTTGGGAAAGGGGAGGACCGTGCAGCTTTTATAAGGGTGGAGGACCGACTGGCGGGCAGACCGGCGGCCGCCGGTCAGCCTGCCACCGCTGCTGCTGATTTCCAGAAGAATCTCGCCACTTCCAGCCGCTATCGATAGGCGGGCAGGCAGGCGGTTGCCTGCCAGCCCGCTAGCGCTCCTCCAGCTCGCCGGATCTGCTTCTCCCCGCCGCCTACTGTGTCGCTCTGGTCCGTCGATGCTATCCTGCTTAAAATATCGTTGTGAACACTTTTTCCTTCGGCACCGACTTCTAATTCCGCACCGTTTGTGAGATAGAATTGTTTTTCTATTAAAAATTTACTCTTTTTACTCCATTCTTGGCCCAATTTTACATCTTAATTCAAAGACATTCTTTTTATGACCCATTTATCAAAACATATATTTTTGGTGAAAAATAATAAATAATTTACTGGTTTGATAATTTAAATTTTACAAGAACGTATTAAATATGAGTAAAAAGATAAGTACGAAACGGACTTATTAGTCGTCAATACGGTCAAGAAGCTGAACCACTATTTTCAAGCCCACGAAGTGGAGGTGAGGAGTCATCAGCCTCTGAGCATCATCATCAGGAATCCAACCGCCTCTAACACGGTCATCAAGTGGTATGTGTATCTCAGCCAGTATCAGATAGAAATGAAGCCGAGGACAGCGATTTCATGGTGGAATGCACGGCACGAGACAACAATCCCACGCCAATAGCCGAGCAGGGCGAGTGGTGGACCTTGTCCAGCGGCAAAGGCTTGCGTTGGGGGCGTGGTAATCCAATCACCTCAAGGATTCCGCTCATACCACGCGATAAAATTCCAATTCAAGGTATCCAACAATGAAGCGGAGTACGAAGCATTGCTGAGCGGCCTAAGGATCATCCTCAACTTGAAGGCCGAGTATGTCAGGATCAGGTGCGATTCACGCCTGGTCGTTAGTCAGTCAAAGGTGAGTTTGACACAAAGGAAGAGCGGATGCGCCTATACAAGGAGGCAGCCCTGGAATTGCTCAAAACCCTCAAAGAATACGAGCTTGTGCAAATCCCTAGCGCGGAGAACACCGAGGCCGACGTCCTCTCCAAGTTGAGCAACGACAGCCCTGAGCACATCTCCAAGATGGCTCATGTTGAAGACCTAGGATCTCCAAGTATCCACGTGCAGCTCATATCTGTTATCACTGAAGGAACCAGCGGCTGGATCGCAGAGTTGATCCGATACAAGAAGGATGGGATTCTTCCCAACGGCGAGACGGCGGCCCGTTTGATCAAACGTAGGGCGCCGACATATGTCATTGAGAACGGCCGACTGTACAAGAGGTCATACAACGGCACACTGTTGAGATGCGTTGACGAAGCCCGAGCAGGGCAGATCATGGAAGAAGTTCACGAGGGAATATGCGCAGCACACCAAGGTCCTTTCTCCATGGCTAGGCGCATAGTCCTGCAGGGCTGGTGTGAGCGCAATAGAAACCCCTTGGGGTGCAAAAAAAAAAGAAGACAGAGCATGCAAGCAGTTTCATTACATAAGATACGCTAAGGGCGACAATATATCATTTTAAGTACGAGAACATGAAGCACTGTTTCCCGAATGGTCAAAGTACACACCCATTTCTTCAGAAAGAGAAGAATCCACGGAAGATGTGTCATGATCGGTCTCAAAATTCGTCTTGAAGGTTGTGTTAGCAATCTTCTTGCGATGAGCACGGCGAAAGCCTACAAGATAGGCGCGAAGAGGGCCCTGAACAGACTCCTCACTCAAGGAAGGAAGATCAGGATCAAATTTCCCCACCGTGGTCGGAGCGGTGGCAAAGCTGGGAAAAATGGAATCTGCCATAAGAAACGAGCATGGTGGAGTGCCCCGAATAAAGGATGTTCCTTCTTCAAGAGAAGGAGTGCCGGGACTCAACGCCATATCGCAAAAGAACAAGAACAGAAATGAAGAATGCATCACATTTATAAGCAGAACAAAGCATTCATTGCAAAAGCATTCACTACATGAGCATTCATTGCATACAAAGTCAAATTCCAATACAGGGTATTTTGAAAGCTACAACATTTATTACATTACACGCCCTAAGACTACAGTTGCGGCACCGGCAACATTTATTACACAGCGGCACTGAGAAAGGAAAAGACCTAAGATTCTCTACCTCCCAATGGACCTCCTTTTTCCCTAGTCTTGAAATCCATTGGTAGGTAGATGCACCCCGTCCTAAGGCCCCATGGACTTCAAGACCAACAAAGCCCAGGCACCGAAGGACGTGGATGGCCCCCCTGTTCTGCAAACCTCCATGGGCAGATATATAGGGAAGGGGTATGGAAGGGATAACTATGAAGAGCCGACGGACTCTTCCGGGTGATTGTCACTTGTAGGGATGGCATCAGCAGCCGGCTGAGCAACCTCAACCGGAGGCGCAGGCCGTTGAGGGACCCCGTGAAGGTAATTCACGAGTCTTTGAAGACGTTCAATGCGCCTTTCCAACTTCTTTGCAAGATACCACCAGGAGCATGTACGCGATTCGGCGTCCTCCGGCGGAGAAGGAGGGGAACGACGGACGGCTTTTGGTTGGGAAGACGAGGGAATAGTTTCCCTAGAATTATTGGAAGCCATGGGAATGTCGACACAATTGGCGTAAGGAAGAGGTGGTCTCACAACACAAGTAGTGGTTGGAGTTGGAACTGTTTGCATCGACACGTGGATGAAGCAGTGCAACGGTCCAGTGGTTAGGTCTGCTTACATGGGGAAGCCAAAGCGTCAGTCCCTTAAAAGACGCAACTCAAATATATTCAAATAGATTATGTCACATGAGAATCTATTCACTATTCACGCATGCAACAAAACAGTAGACAAATATTGTTCATTACATTGGAAGACAAAACTTCAAAAAATTACAAAGGAGAAGCATTAAGGAAGGGCGTTCGAGGTTTGCTCTTCGCCGGCGCCGTCCTGAGCTGTGTCCTCGCGCTCGGGCGTCCTAAGGTAATCCGGATTCTCCCCAAGCTCGGCATTCGGGCTAGGGTCATGCATGTCTGGGATGTCAACCCCGGGCGGAGGGAAGGACGGGTCCACTCTTCTAGTCCGGCGAAGAACAAGCTGGATCCCATGATAAACGTCGGTCTCGAGCCACTTCGTCCCCTCCTCCCCCATCTTCTTTATGCCAGCCTCGGTCCCAAGCCAGCTCTCGTAATACTCAGCGAATTTCTCCAGGCATGCCTCTTTGAAGGCCGGGGACTGAAGGAAGTCGGAGACAGCACGCTCTTTCTCGGCAACAGCTTGCTCCTTCTCAGCAAGGGCCCGATCTCGCGCAGCTTCTAGAGACCTCTGCGAGGAGACAGCCTCGGCCAATTCAACATCCATCTCTGCCATTCGTCAGTTGGGAGGCCGACTCCTCCGACTCTTTCAAAAGGCCCTGCAGCCAGACCACTTCCTCGGACTTCGCCTTAGCTTGCATCTCGATCTCGGTGGCCTGTTCATGCTCGGCAGCCGCCAATTTCCTAAGGCGAGACAGCTCCGTCTCCACCGAGGCCAAGAAGTCCACCCCCGAGGAAAACTCAGCCCCGGCTCGGCGTTTGCTGATCAAGCTCAATTTTGCCGACACCTAACAAACACCAAGTCAATTATCTGTATCGATTAAGAAAACGAAGGTACCAGGACACTCACCTTTTTGTGGAACCCATCCATGTAACACCCCAACCCGCGTAACCCAAACCCGTGAGATAGCGGACCGGTGTGCCACTGGATTGGTATCCGAATATACAACATTTTCAAAACAATTTTAAACAAACGTTCTATCAATACATATAAAAATCCATCGGAGTAATTTAAAATAATGTGGAAGCCTTTTTAAAGTCAAACAACTTGGGATCTTGCCCGAAAACGTAATAAGCATTAAAGTTAATTAAATAAAGCATAATCAACAGATTAAAGAGACAGCCACGCCATCGTACATCTCCTCCTCAATGCCCTCTAGGATCGGCTCTAGGTTCATCTGTCTGATCACCTACGGACAGCAAAAAGGAAAACAACGCTATCCGCTCAGCAATGACGCTAGGTGGCACTCCATTGTAGCACAAGAATAAACATAATAATTCAACAATTGAGATCGTGCATATGTTTATCCTTTTGATAAAAATCAATTCAACTTTAAATTCGGTTCTTTAGACGGTTGACCAACTTTAAAGTCTTGGATTTAACCATTCGGTCAAACCTACGTCGACAGAATATCCAGTCAAAGTCCAAGTCAAACAGGACCTAACCCAAGTCAAAGTCAAACCTGTTTAGTCAATTCATAATCCTCAACAATTCAATTCAAATAATCAATTTAATTCAATTAACCAATTTAGCCAAATGATAGCATAAACACATATAACGATCCAAACCATTAAATCTATTCTAAATGCTATTAACTTCATAGTACGGACCTGGATTTCGCCGAAATCGAATCGATAGCTCGAACGGAAGACAAATCGACAAAATCAAACGAACGGGTCAAATTGAGTCAAAATGCGAAATCGACCAATCAACCCGGCGTGGAGGTTAATCTGTCGGCGATATCAACTCGGGGCAGCGGCTGGATGCGGCGACGGTGACGGACGCCGGCGACAGTGGCGGAGCGGCAGCTCGACGGCGATGAGCAGCGACTGGCAGCGCTGCAATCGACGGCGGTGGAGGACCGACGAAGGCGAAACAGAGGCGTTGCACTCGACGGCGAGGATGGCCGCTGTGCTAAGGGCGACGGCGGCGCTCGATTCCGGCCAAGGCGAAACAGCGGCGTTTGGCGACGTCCGGCGTTTGGCGTGGCGGTGCTGCAATCGACGGCGAGAACGACGCCGGTAATGGAGGCGACGACCGCGGCTCGAAGATTGGGAACCGTGGTCAGCGGCGCTGGATCTGGCGGTGAGCGACGGGGCAGCGGCGATTGGCTGCGGCGAGGAGCGACCGGCGCTGGCAGTGGAGGCGACGGACTTCCGGCGAAGGATGGGCAGCGACTGGCGGCGATGATGGCGGCGGACTTCCGGCTGTTGAAGACGAAGAAGAAAGAAGAAGTAGAAGAAGAAGAAGAAGAAGAAGAAGAACGGAAGAAGGACGGAAGAAGAAGATAAGGATCGAGTGGTTTAAATTAGTTTAGGTTTATTTAATGGTCCCATTCCTAAAAGGATTGGGCTTCAGACCCAAAATACCTGATTAAATAGTCATAACATGAGCTTCATAACTCCGATTCGCGAGCCGTCTGAACCGGCGCGATCACAAAAATATTTCCTACGATAGTACAAGACTCCGTCATCTCGAATTGCAAACTCGGGCCTCTTTCCTGTAGGAACTAACTCTCGAGTCTTCTGACAAAACTCATCACCTCTCTGTGCTGTACGGATCTCCTGCTCTAACGGGGACTGAAGGTGTAGCTCGGCTAACGATTTTCTGCTCAAAGCATCGGCCACGATGTTAGCCTTGCCCGGGTGATACTCAATGACTAAATCGTAATCCTTGATCAGCTCCAACCATCGACGTTGTCTAAGATTCAGCTCCTTCTGGGTGAGTAGGTACCTCAAACTCTTGTGATCGGTGAAGATGTGAATCCTCTCTCCAAAGATGTAGTGGCGCCAAATCTTCAAGGCGAACACCACGGCTGCCAACTCTAAATCATGTGTCGGGTAGTTCTC